CTGTCAGCATGCTGTAGAAAAAGACCATCTCTGTCAGCGTCGTCTGTTAAGCTCTGCTGTGATAACTTCCCATTTATCTGGCAATCAGAAGTAATTACTTATCTGGGTATACAATTACCAACCCATCTATCAGAGCTGTACAGCAGAAACTACTTACCTATTATATGCGCCATAAAAGAAGACCTCAAAGATGGAATAAACTCATATCCTCTTGATTCCGTAGATTGGCAGTTCTTAAAATGAATGTACTTCCACACCTATTATATATCCTTCAAAATGTGCCAATTGAGCTACCTCAAAAATTCTTGAATGATTACCAAAAGATTTGTATGTTCTTATGGCAATGAAAAAGCCCATGCATTAGCTACAGTCAACTAACTCTACCAAAAGATAAAGGGGGGATAGGCCTCCCAAATCTCAGGAAATACTATTGGGCATGCCACATTTCCAGAATAGTTGACTAACAGGCACACACCAAGATAAAAGATTGGGTTCACCTAGAAGATCCTTCTCAGATTTACCCCTGCAAGCTCTCCCATGGCTCACCAGTAAACACCTCTCAAGTGCTCTTCGAATCCACCCACTCATAGGACCAACCATCCTTAGCTTTCATGAGGTGTGTAAAAAAACTGAAATCTCTTCGATCCTGGATCCTCTGACACCTGTTCGGAACCCTGACTTCTTACCAGGGATGTCTTCCCTATTTTTATCAGGTATAGAACCAAATGAGCTCCTACAGGCTCATCAATTCTTCCATACAGGAGTATTGATGGATCGGGAAACATCTGGTTTTAAAATGGCCAGATGTGCGCTTTACTCTCTGGACATACCTCCACCTTCGTCTCTTTCTCAAATATCCAAACTCTACAGTAAACATGTCTTGAAATATGTTTGAAAAAATATGCTGGAAAGCCTCCCCTCAACAATATGCCATATCCACAGTACACTACCTTCTAGACGTACACATACCATCAGGCTTGGGTGAAAGTGTGTGCTACTTGGTCCAGAGGCTTACAAGTTGACATTTCTCCCAAAGATTGGGAAAAAAATGTATCAAGTTGCACACAAAGGTCAGTAAATGTTACCATCCAGGAAACTAACTACAAACTCTCGTCTAGATGGTACAGGACCCCGAATCTAATGAATAAATATGACCCAGCCCTTTACGGCAGATGTTGGAGATGCCATCAGGAGATAGGCACACTTCTGCACATTTGATGGAAATGCCCAGCGCTCCAGCTTTTCTGGTCTAAATACTTACTACACTATCCCACACCCCCTTCTAGGATGTACCACAAATCACTGGCAATGCACTTGGTCAACGCAGCCAAGGCCTACATACTAATACATTGGGGAATCCCCGAATACCTTCCCTCACTAAGTGGATTGAATGCATAAATAGAATCAAGGAGATGTAGGAACTAAATAAACATTATATCTGTATTTTATGTTTATTTTCAAATAAAATCTTTTTGGATTAAAAAAAAAAAGAAAAAGGACCATTGCTCCCTGCGATGAAGCAATGCTATCTCTGCAGAGGTTCTATTCTACAGGGTGCTGAATTAGAGCTATAGTTCTGCAATCAGGGAAGCTCATGCTTCTTGATCATTGAAAAGCTCTAGCTCTAACTCAGCCCGGGGCATCCTCAAAATGCCTTGGGGGCACCTTGAACCTCTGCAGAGAGACCACTGCTTCCACACAGAAATCAAGGGTCTCTCTCCACAGCATGCTGCCATGAGGACAGGCTTTTCTACTCTCTATAGGCTGTGGCTGTTTAAAAAACAAACAAAAAACTGTAAAACTTTTGTTTTAATGGTCCTGGAGTTAATATAAACCTTAATAAGTAAACAGTAAAATACAAAGTCAAAATACATACTGTATATTGGAATTTGGATGCAATTTAAATGTTTTTAGCTGATTTAAACTGGAGATTTAGCTACAGGTAAACTGTAATACATGCAAGGAAAATTTATGTCATTATTACAAAAATCCCGCTGTGATTAAACACATGGAAGTCTCATCTGTTCCTATGTGTGATCAATTTATTTTAATTGTTTCTTTTTTCATAAAGCATCGTAAAATCATTTCCCCATTGCGTTACAATTTAACACAGTTTTCAGCAGCTTTCAATATGCACGTAGTCTCATATGTCTCAATTTGCAATCAATTTCTCAGAGTTTTCTGCTGTCAATGTTAACAAACATTTCTTTTTAATCTGATTTTTTTTTCTTCTTTTTTTTTTTTCTTAGATCCCGAAGTTCGGGGAGAGCTGTTTGACCTGCTTTGTGTCAGCCAGACATCTCTGCCATGTCTGCGCTCCCTCCTTTTGCTGACAATTAATTGGTATGCAGTCATGCTCAAATCCTGACCGTACTCCAATTAAAAATTGATATTATTCTGTTACACTTGTTATTATTCAGTTATGCACAATCCCAGATCTCAAATGTGTAATTATTAACATTAATGTTCAATGACCCTCTGTTTTGCAAAATTATTATGTGTTGCTGTTTTTTTTTTTTGATTTACATTTTTTATCCCTCTACTGTACAAGCTTTGTCCAAGCGGCCTTCTTATGGGGAATTAATTATTTCAGATGAAAAAGGTTGGGCTTTTTTATTTATTTAATATGAGTTTTTTTTTTTTAGAAAAGACTAGCTGAAATTTAAATGTCTCTGTGTGTCACTTTATAATGTTTGCAGTTCATCAGTCTAATGTATCAAATAAATAAATAAATACATACATACATAAATAAATTGTATATATATATATATATATATATATACACACACAGCTATATATATATATATATATATATATATATATATATATATATTTTGCACTATTCAACTCATTTCCTGGGATATTTTGATTATAAATATAAAGCTGTCGGCCTGGTATCATTTTCACATAAAATTTGTGTTTTTTTATTTTGTTGAAATTTGTAGGGCAATTGTGTTTTTAGTACCTGTAAAAAAAAGTCTGGTTTGCCATATAAAAACAGAACCAGCTGAATGCAGAATTTTTAAAATAGCTATTATTTTTCGCATGAATAACTTTTAGTATGGAATCTCTAGTGAGAGTTTATTTTGGAAAAAAAAGGACAGATCACGCGTATTGTTTAATTCCCAATATATCCTATTCTTACATATTTTAAAGGGAAACTGTGGTCTTTTCAATGCTTTTTTAAAGGGTAATTCCACTTTCATAGGGGAAAAAAAGTGCAAAAAAAAAAAATAGCATGCACAATGGCGACATAAGTCACACTGTAATTGAATGAAAGAATTGATTTCCTTTTCACTCTGCAAAGCTGCAATTTTTTTGTCAGTTTGTATATATAATAGTATATTTCACACACTTTATATAGTTGGATAATAGGAGCGTAACATTTATAGATATATGGTTTAAATTGCACAGTTGGAGTATGTGTTAATTGTTAGTGATCCCTAAGGTTTTTTTGTTTGGCTTGCAAGTTACACACACCTGTATTTTGTAATTGCTCCCAAACTCACCAACTTGCTGAAGGAGGGAGAAATCCCTGCAGGGATATACAGAGTTTAAAGGGGAAAGGTGTTTGCAAGAAGTTCCCAACATCTATCATATACTGCAGCAATTCTAGTAGGTTCCAGGATATGTGAACCAAAAGTTTATTAAGCCTGTATAATAGGCTTAGAAGGAGGTAAGCGCACATGTAATTTCACTGAAGGATTCACAGAAAGTCACTGTATTATGTTTTAATCACTTTATCACAAATTTGGACTTTTTTTGGATAAACGGATTTATTTTTGTTTTTTATTATTATTGATATATTGAAAATTTTTTGTCAGTTTGTATATATAATAGTATATTTTCACACACTTTATATAGTTGGATAATAGGAGCGCAACATTTATAGATATATGTGCACAGCCTTCGCCCCCAGGCTTTGCTATTGCAGGAGCAGAGACACAGGGAACTTAGGAGGTTAAAGGGACAGGCAGCTATGCCTCTAGAGTATTAAGTGTCTGTTTGTATGTGTATGCTGTTTGTATGTATGTGCATAGGTGGTATTGCTGTGCTAATTATATGAGGATGGGGTATAAATGAATCCCAGGCAGCGCTGTGCTGCATATACTTGATTTCTGCACTGTATAAATGACATTCAACTGACCTCTGCACTCTGTGCACTACCAACTCCTGGCCCCTAAACTCTGTGCAATAGAAACCCCTGACTCCTGCTACATACTTCTGACACCTGCACTCAGTACATTACATACGTATGACCCCTCTACTCTATCTGTAGGCTAAAGTTTGAAGTACCTCCGACTGTTAAGACAATCTTGCCACACTCAGATTTTACATGGCATGTTTGACCCCATCCACCACTCTGCCCCCTATGCTGCCCCAATTCTCAGGAATTACAGTTTACAAAAGTTCCTAGGTATGAATTCAGAAACTTAGCACTGAAACATAAGGGAGGTAGGAAACATGGTCACCAGAAAGGTGAGTATATTTTATTGAAGGGTTTTTATATCTTTGAGTCCTAACAAGGTCTCTTTTAAATTGTTACTAAACCCTTAACTGTAAAATCAGTCTGTATATGCAGTAAAGCATGCTTGTTATACTCACTGTGGAACCTAAGGGGTTAATCTTCTGCATTGTGTAAAAAGACTGTTTGATCCTGTCATTTCTGATCCTCCCCTTCTTCTACTGTCCCCAATCCATCTGCTGATAGTACAGAGCTCTAGGAGTCACTCTGCACATGCTCAGTTTAGTGGGTATTGCCAGAGAGTTTTTTTTTTTTCTTTGAGAGGGTGCATGTGATCAGCACAGGGCCAATCAGCACTGTCCATACAGAGGTTCATGGGTTCTGTAGCCTCATAGGGCAGTATGAAAACTCCTCCTACAAGTATTAGCCAATGCTCTTCCGGACACTGATAGTCACAAGACTGCTTTAACTGCTGATGAGAAAAGGTATTTAGCAATTTATATTTACTAAAATAATTGCATTTCCATGTGTGTACTGTGGAAGACCAGATATAGTGAATGCAGGGTCCGGGGAGACCAGATATAGTGAATGCAGGGTCCTGGGAGACCAGATATAGTGATTGCAGGGTCCGGGGAGACCAGATATAGTGAATGCAGGGTCCGAGGAGACCAGATATAGTGAATGCAGGGTCCGGGGAGACCAGATATAGTGAATGCAGGGTCCGAGGAGACCAGATATAGTGAATGCAGGGTCCGGGGAGACCAGATATAGTGAATGCAGGGTCCGGGGAGACCAGATATAATGAATGCAGGGTCCTGGGTTTATTAACACTAAGTGACAGAACCAGAACAAGCAGGCTGGAAATGATTGTCAGAAAAGTATCAGAATTCCATTTCTCTATGCTCGTGCTGGGTCATCAACTTAGGCAGCATTGAAGCCAGAGAATGGCATGACAGCCAGGGAGCTAGCATTCTCAAAAAGATAATTCAGCAATAGCAATGTTCATTATTCTCTCACGACGGATTATGTGAAAGCGAAGCTCCATTCAAAGTTAAAAAAAAAGGTGCCCACTGTGCATGCACTTCTAGCAATGCACCTTGTGAATGGCCCCGTAGTCTTCTGCGGGGAGACTATGGTTAGAGGGGGGACAACCACTGCTTCCGGTCAGGTAGGAGATCGCAGTGGAAGTGCGAGCAGGTACCTATCAAAATCGGGTACCCCGCTCCCCCCTTTTGGATGGAGCTCCGTTTTAACTGTTGTTTCTGCTTTGTTGCATCTGCTGTTGATCGCCTGAAGCCCTTTTGCATCCACTTCCTGCCTATATGGACTCTAGCAACTGCTATACATTATTTGAGTTACTAAAATGGCTAAGCTAAAATAACAAAACCAGCATTTGCTGGTTCTTTTAATATGCCTCTAGATGACCAGCATGTTTCAACCCACTTCTTCTGAGCCCAGGTTATCCTGGGCCAGCCCCCAGCCTGTGACTGGATAGAAAAAAGAGAGGCAGCACAGTGATGAAGTCATAGTTACAGTGGGGAAAATAATTATTTGGTCCTCTGCAGATTTTGTACGTTTGCCCACTTACATAGAAATGAAATGTCTATAATTTTTATCATAGTTGTATTTCAAATGATGGAGACAGAATATCAATCAAAGATCCAGAAAAACACATGATACAAATGGTATAAATTTAGTTGCAGCTCACTAAGTAAAATAAGTATTTGATCCCCTACCAACCAACAATAATTCTGGCTCCCACAGACTCATGTGTGCTCATGTGCTACACAGATTAGTGCTGCCAATTTAAGAAGGTGCTCCTAAGGACAACTCGTTATGTGTATGAAAGACACCTGTCAACAGAATTTCACTCTTGGGCACCACCATGAGCAAGACCAAAGAGCTGTCACAGGACATCAGGGACAAGATTGAAGACCTGCACAAGGCTGGAATGGGCAACAAGACCATCAACAAGAAGCTTGTTGAGACTGTTGGAGAGATTATTTGCAAATGGAAGAAATACAAAACAACCATCAATCGCCCTTGGTCTGGAGCTCCATGCAAGATTTCGCCTCATGTGGTAAGGATGATCATGAGAAAAGTGAGGGATCAGCTCAGCTTGTGAATGACCTCAAAGCAGTTGGGAACACAGTCACCAAACAAACCATTGCTAACGCAATTCGCCGCCATAGATTGAAATCCTGTAGCCCTTGCAAGGTTCCCCTCCTCAAGAAGGCACATGTACAAGCCTGTCTGAAGTTTGCCAATGAACATCTAAATGATTCAGAGAAAGATTGAGAGAACGTGCTGTGGTCAGATGAGGCCAAAATTGAGCTCTCTAGCATTAACTCAACTCAATGTGTTTGGAGGAATTAAAATGCTGACTATGACCCCAAGAACACCATCCCTACAGTCAAGCATGGAGGTGGAAACATTATGCTTTGGGGCTGTTTCTCTGCAAAAGGTACAGGCCGACTTTTCCGCATTGAGGGGCTAATGGACGGGGTCATGTATTGTAAAATCTTGGATGAGAACCTTCTTCCCTCATCCAGAACACTGAAGATGGGTCGTGGATGGATCTTCCAGCATGACAATGACTCAAAACATACCGCCAAGGCAACAAAGGAGTAGCTCAAGAAGCATATTACGGTGATGGAGAGGTGAGGGCGGTGGAGGGAGCTGAAACTTCAAGTCGCCAAGTGACAGCCAAGAAACCTTAAGAACTTACAGAAGATCTGTAAAGAAAAGTGGACCAAAATCCCTCCTGAGATGTGTGCAAACCTGGTAACTAACCACAAGAAACGTCTTACCTCTGTGCTTGCCAACAAGGGTTTCTCTACTAAGTACTAAGCCATGTCTTGCTTGGGGAAACCTATTTTACTGCCACTCAGTTTATGACATTTGTATCATGTGTTTTTTTCTGGATTTTTGGTTGATATAATGTCTCTATCATTTAAAATACACCTATGATAAAAAGTATAGACCAGGGGTGGGCAAACTTTTTGACTTGAGGGCCGCAATGGGTATGAATATATGAATATTGGACCCGGGGGCCGGACCAAGAGTAGATGAATGATGTGTATGTGTCATCCATAGAAAGTATAGTAATATTGCCCCATAGTAAGCATAGTAATTAATCCCCCATATAGTAATTCATCCCCCATAGTAATTCATCCCCCATATAGTAATTCATCCCCCATAGTAGTAATTCATCCCCCATAGTAATTCATCCCCCATATAGTAATTCATCCCCCATAGTAATTCATCCCCCATAGTAATTCATCCCCCATATAGTAATTCATCCCCCATATAGTAATTCATCCCCCATAGTAATTCATCCCGCATATAGTAATTCATCCCCCATATAGTAATTCATATAGTAATTCCCCCCCCATAGTAATTCATCCCCCACATAGTAATTCATCCCCCATATAGCAATTCATCCCCCATATAGTAATTCATCCCCCATAGTAATTCATCCCCCATATAGTAATTCATCCCCCATAGTAATTCATCCCCCATAGTAATTCATCCCCCCCTATAGTAATTCATTCCCCATATAGTAATTCATCCCCCATATAGTAATTCACCCCCCATATAGTAATTAATCCCCCATAGTAATTCATCCCCCATATAGTAATTCATCCCCCCTATAGTAATTCATTCCCCATATTAATTCATCCCCCATATTAAGTCCCCAAGTCCCCCCTGTGTCAATTCACTTACCTTTGCTCCGCGCGTTCCTCTCGCCGTATTCCCACACCGTTCCGGTGAAGATCTGTCTCCTATGAGGATCTGTCCCCCTCGACGCATCTGCGCATGTGCCAGTTTCAGGCATTAGCAGCCGATCGGCGATCTCCGGCACATGCGCAGATACGTCGAGGGGGACAGATCCTCATAGGAGACAGATTTTCATGCTACACCGGTCTTCAGGGCGGACTGTGAGAGGAGCCTAGCGGGAGCCTAGCTCCGTGGGCCGGATTAAAAGACAGTTCTTCTTTTCATGCTACACATTTTTGCAAACTCTCACGTCCGCCGGGCCGTATACGGCCCACGGGCCGTAGTTTGCCCATTGCTGGTATAGACCCTTCATTTCTTTGTAAGTGGGCAAACTTACAAAATCTGCAGGGGATCAAATACACTGTACATAGTCTGGTTGAAAAAAGACACAATTCCACCCAGTTCAACCCACAGAGTAAAAAAAAAAAAACACAAACAAATAGAAAACTTCCAGACACACAAATAGAAAACTTCCATATACACAATCCTATACCCAAAGTAGATCCAGAGAAAGGCAAAAAAAAAAATAAAATAAAACATGATACAATATACAATCAGATATTCCCTGGATCTACTTTACCTATAAATATTGGTATCCAGTCATATTTTGTGCATTTAGGAAAGAATCCAGGCCTTTTTAAAAACAATCTACCAAACTGGCCAGAAGCAGCTCTTGAGGGAGTCTTCTCCACAGAGAGGTCATCTCTCTGTCACTCTGCTCTCCCCTACCATCAACATGCTTCTTGTCAGCACATGAACTGATTGAGTTCTTGTGCTCCTTCTTCTTCTCACAATGCAGGTTTGCTGTATAGAGACTACATATCAAAGGCTGATAACAGGTCAAATTCAGGTATTTACACTATTTGCATTTAAAATCTACATTGAATGATTCATCAGCGACTACAGAGCTATCTTTCTATATCTGTCTATAGTTCAGCTTTAAATGGGATCTCATTAGTTACTCACTATAAATACTCTTTGCAGTCTTGTTTTCTTTCTAACAATTCTGCTGCTCTTTAAATGATAAAACAGCCACCACAATGTATGCATGAATATTTATAGGCATAAATTTAACATATTATATGCAATAATTTAATGCACCAGATCATGAGCAGAATTTACTTATTCATAAGGTTATTCCTCATGGGCTCCCAATTAATTCTAATATGCCTATATGTTTTTTTCTCAACAAACCCCGTGACACGCCATACAGCTTAAACCTGTTGTTCTCCCCTTCTTTCTTTATTGAACAGAAGAAGCATATTAATAAGACCCTCATCCCCATTTTCTTTATGTAGAAGAGCATTGGTGGCCACCTAGGAATTGAGGAAGAGCTCAGCTATAGGATACAAAACACAAAAAATGAAAATATTAATATTAAATAATAGCGTGATCGTTCCTAAATATATACTAAATATATACGAAATATATATGTGTAAAGTTTGTGTATTTAAGGTGAAACTCCTGCCAAACAGCTAAAGCACAGTCAGGAAGAGGACTCAGCTGCTTACTGGTTCAACTTTACTGCTTCCGGGGTTAGCCTCCTTGTAATTGTAAAAAAATGATGACGCTGATTCACTGTCCAAAGAATATTATTAAACCCTAGTGGTAGATTAGTGGGTCTGCTTCCTAATCCTAAACTGGGCAATTTCCCCCTCTCTGTTGTGTATCATCTGAACTCTGCCCAGGGACCTCCCTCCCCATCTAAATAATACAATCTTTCAGCTAATCACCCCAAAATAATTAAATACACAAAATGCTTGCCTGAATCAAAGTTTAGCCTGAGTCCCATGCCGCATCAGGACTTCCCTCTTTTTGAGAGTGGTAAGGTCTTTCTTCGGGGGTCCTTGTCACTGCCTGGTGTTGTGGACTCTTCCAGTTGGATCCATTAGCAAGGTCTTAAAAACTCCAGTAGTGGGGTGATGATGTCATGATGAGAGAAAGCTACAGAGCAGTTGGTAGTGGGTCCAGACTGTAGCAATAGAATGGGGTTTTCACCCACAGAAAAGACCCCATGGAGAGTCATGTAAAGATGGATTC